TTAAATGTAATCACTGGCAGCCTTGGTCCCTCTCTGCCCAGCATTTGGACAACCTCAGGTTTATGCAGTAAAGTTACCTCATCTCTCTCAGCCACCAGAAATTCTGACTCCTGTGACAGATTAGAAGGTAGTTTATAGTAAAATGCCAATGTCTCCCAAAAGTGGTTTAACATGTTTGTGGAAGAAGGCAAAGCCTCACTGGAAACGGTGAGATTAATCTAACGGTAGAATTTAGGGCAGCGTGAGAAAAGGACCGTGAGGTCTCTCCAGGGAGTCTTCTAAGTACGCAGTAGACCTACCAGCACAAAGGCAGCCCAGGAGGAAAGTAAAAGCTCCTTCCCATCTTAGATCTCCATTCAAGGCAGATGGCCCTCCCAGGCATGTCAGAGCTCTAGGCTCTTCTGCTCCCTTCCTCTGAGGGACCTATCTGTCCAGCTGTCAGCCTGTCACTACAGCTCTGCTCCAAAGCTGTCGTGTAGGTGTGTATTCATCAAGCATTGGTTTCTAACATTGAAAAAGGATCTTTCTAAAGAAGGAGGTTTATTCCTCTGGACGATTACAGATAAGTTCTGTGTGGTAGGGTCAGATAGTCATCTGTGTGGCTTGACCAGTGCTCCTGTTCTGTCTGTATTCAGATGTGATTATGGAGTGGTCTTGCTTTTATCTCAATCTATCCCAGTTGCAGAGTGGCCTTGTCTGAAGCTGATGGTCTATATACAATTGCTCATGTTCAACAGGACGACACCGAGGTCTAGCTGTGAGTGGGAGACCAGGTCCTGGATGTGGGGGCTGCTTTTCCCTTTCTCAGTATTCCTAACGAGAGAGCTTGGATCAGATTTTCCTGGGAAGCCTGGGAGCCCACAAAGAAACAAAGGCTTACTCTCTAAAATCGCCCGTAGCCCAGACAGACAAGGTTTGAATCACAGATACCGGTCCTCCTGTGGCTTATTATATGTGACATCAGTTGCTGCCTCCATGAAATGGGCATTTCTTTTTTTTTTTTTTGCATTTTTTTAAATTAAATCTTTATTGTTCAGATTATTACATTAGTTACTTTTTTTTCCCACCAGAAATGGGCATTTCTGATGGCAGAATTAGGTTGTTGTGGGGAGGGTGTAACCACCGACAGAGGTTCCAACAATGTTGGTGAAATTTAATCACTCTGTAAAAACCAGTGTTTTAAAAGTTAAATCCCTCAATCTTAAAACCAACATGGACTATTAAATGGCAGCAAGAAAGACTGTTTGGTTTTTCTTATGAATAGCAGCTTTTCTTCTTTGTGCTTTTTTAAATGTCCTTTTTATAACCCCAATGGAAGGGAATTTGTCATCTAACAAAAATGAATATGTGTTTCTCTTTTGTCCCAGCAATCCCGCTTCTGGCAATTTGCCCTAAAGATAAACTTCCAACAATGTGAAAATACATATGCACAAGTTTATTCATTGTAGCTTGGCTGATAATTGGGGGGTGGGGTGGGGGGAAGGCAACAATGTCAGTTCCTAGGCGTAGGCAGTGGTTGAATAAACTGATACATTCACACAATGGAATCCTACACAGCAATGGAAGAAAACTATGAACTGATGAGGCCTGGTTTCCAGGACATACGGTTAAGTGGAAAAAAAAAAAAAAAAGCAAAATGCACAATAGTATCTATAGTATACAAACCTTGATGTAGAAACCAAGATGGTATAAGTGCCCTGGCCAGTGTTGATCAGTGGTTAGAGCATTAGCCTGTGCACCAAAGGGTCGCAGGTTAGATTCCTAGTCAAGGGCACTTACCTGGGTTGCAGGTTCGATCCCTGGTCCCAGTCAGGGTGGTTCAGGAGGCAACCAGTTGATATGTCTCTCTCACATTGATGTTTCTCTCTCCCCCCTTCCTTCCAGTCCCTCTAAAAAAATCAATGGAAAAAATATCCTTGGTGAGAATTAACAAGAAAACACTTATATTTGCTTATCTTTACAAAAAGAAACAAAGGAAGGATAAACCAGCAACTATTGAGACTGGTTGCCTAGAGGCACTGGGTGGGAGCAGACTAGAAGGAACGGACAAAGTGATATTTCTGAGTTTACTTATCGGAATAGTTCTGACTTTTGAAACCATGTTCATGTTTCACATACTAAAAAAATAAATAAAAGTAACAAGGATGGGGGGGGGGGATCCTAAAACAGAATACAATCAGAAACAGAAGAACCTTAATTGCATTTTAAACACAGCCTCACTCAAAGGGAATGGGAAGAACTAACCCAAGTAACTTTTGAACATGGTATTTATCAGGTTAAAGACAAAAAGCACTGTAACAAATACTGACCTCTAGTTAGTAGATTTGTCTTCTATAGTTGTATGGGTAGTGAATCTGAAACTATTTTTTAAAAATATATTTTTATTATTTCAGAGAGGAGTGGAGAGGGAGAAAGAGGGATAGAAACCTCAATGAGATAGAAACATCAATGATGAGAATCATTGATCGGCTGCCTTCTGCATGCCCCCTACTAGGGATTGAGCCCACAACCTGGGCCTGTGTCCTTGACTGGAATTGAACCCAGAACTCTTCAGTCTGCAGGCCGACGCTCTATTCACTGAGCCAAACCAGCTAGGGCATGAATCTGAAACTATTGAATGTGTATCCTAGGATTGAGCAAATAAGTAAAATTCTTGTGGATAATGAGAATTAGGTTTCTCACTGTTGGAGGATGGAGTTACAAATACAGAAAAGGGAAAAGCTATGATGAACACCCTAGTATGGGATTGGTATTATAGATATCAATAGGAATTCATGGATTTTCATATAAAGTAAATATATAAGATAGATGTATGGATTATTTACATACATATGTACATATGGTTTCACTACATATGGTACATATATAGGAGATTACACATATTTCCCAACTCTGTCCACTGAGCAAGCCTAGAATCAGCCACACTACAGAAGCAGTAAGTACTTCTAGTGCCAAGATCTTGGTTTCCTGGATGCCGTTCTTCACTAAAAGTAAACAGTGCTTCTTGGGGGAGATGGCTGACTCCAGGACCAGAACTGGGAAAGTACAAGATGAGCCAGAAACATCCTGATGTAATCTGAAGGAAAGATATGCTCAAAAAATGATGGAGATATGCCAAAAGGACACAGGAGCCAACTGGAGGGGACTCCCACTGGCCACATCTAGAACAATGTGAGCATTGTACAACTATCTCAGGTGAAGTTTATGGTATGTTAATTATACTTCAATTAAACTTCTTTTATTTTTTAATATATTTTTATTGATTTCAGAGAGGAATGGAGAGGGAGAGAGAGAAGCATCAATGATGAGAGAGAATCATTGATCGGCTACCTCCTGATCGAGCCCACAACCCAGGCATGTGCCCTGATGAGGAATCAAACCATGATCTCCTGGTTCATAAGTCAACGGTCAACCACCGAGCCACACTGGCAGAGCTAAGCTATTTTATTAATAAATAAAGTAAATGACTTTAACCTGTAAGTTAAAAGAAGAATTCATAATCGTAGTAATTGTTTCAGGCAAGAATCACCAAGGATGCTAAACTAGTGAGTGGAAGTTTGAAGAAAAACAGGAGAGTTACATAGTCTCAAAGTATGTCCCTGCAAGACATTTACTCATTACAAAGAGAAATAGTACATTTACAGTGGAGAAACCTGGAAGATGCCACCTTACTCAAATCAGCAAAGCTAATAACCATTTGGGAACTAACCAATACCTTGTGCCTCCGGATACACTCTAAGAAAAATACAGGTCACTTCTTTGGAATTCCTGCCAAAAATGCAGAATCCAAATCTAACCCTGAGGAAATATCAGATAACCCAAAATTGAAGGACATTCTTCCAAATAATTGGCCTGTGACTTTTTGAAAACGTCGAGATCATGAAAGTTAAGGGAAGAGTGTGGCATTGTTCAGACTGAGGGAGGCTGAGAAGACCTGATAACAGAATGCAGCACATGACCCAGGATTTCCTTTTTCTATAGAGGGACGTTACTGGCTCACCCACTAGGATGGCTAGAATGAAAAAGTCAGATAACAAGTGTTGATGAGGATGTGGAGATATTGGAACCCTCATACACTGCTGGTAGGAATGTAAGAAAATGTCCTTGTTAGGAAATTCATACTTAACTATTTCGTTGAAAGGCCATCGTGTCTACAACTACGATCAAACAGTTTAGAAAAATATATAGATAAAGATATAGATAAATAGATAGATAGAATGTGATTATTATGAGGCTTGGCAATTTTCGCCAATCTAATAAATGAAAAATGTGACCTCATTGTATTAATTTGCATCTCTTTAATTATGGGGAGACCATTTAAAATGCCCCAGAAACCATAATGCAGAATGACCACAAAGGCTATACAATTTGAAAAATACTGAGTGCCACTCTCTACTAAGCTCCAGTGATAAAAGTATGAAACATCACACCTAGTAGATGTGAACTGCATCTAATTGTTTTAATTTCGCATTTCCCTGATAACGAAAAGCAATGGGTTATCTTTTCAGAGGTTATACATATTGGCCATTTCAGGGGACTCCTGCTGTGAATTACCTATTCATATCCACTGTCCATTTTCCAGTGTAGTGTTTGTGCCTCTTCTGACTGATTTGTAGATGTGCTTTATACATCCCAGAATCTAGATACTAGTTCTTTATCACACACATCAAAAGAGTAGAATGAAACAATCAAGTCTGTGAAGCTCAGCGAGGCATATAGTAAGGATCTTTCCGTTTTAAATACCAGGACTTGCAATGAAAGGAAATATTTCTGGCATGTGCTATGGGTCATTGTTGACTCTACTTGAGTATGTCTGAAAATAGAAAAAAAATAAGAATGAAGTCTAATTTATAAAATTTATGGCCTGCACTCTGCTGTTAAGAAAAGGAATTAGCAAAAAGAACAGAAATAGAAGAAGAAGGAGGAGGAGAAGGAGGAGGAGGAGGAGGAGGAGAAGGAGGAGGAGGAGGAGGAGGAGAAGGAGGTTTAGCATTTGTGAATCTGGTCTATGTAATTTATTCATAATTACTGGATTCAACTTTTTTGTTTGTAATACATGAATATTAATTTATGAGTTAAAACTCCATTTAACTTCACGTTAACATTTATTTTAAAGAGGGGAGACACACGTTGCTCTTCAATTGCCACCGGTATTTCCAAGCAAAGAACTGCTAATCCCATTCTTTTGTTTAAGAGAAAGGGACACCAAAGCCCAGTGAGTGGGCATGACTCGCCCAGCTCCATAGAGGCAAGTACTAATCTGATTAGAGCCTGTTTTCCTTAGCTCCTCAGGTGACGGCGGGGGTCCAGCTTCATCTGGGCTTCCTTCTCCCTGCCACATCACAGCTAAGCACGCAGTACTTGCGCGGCAAATGTTCCTTTGGAAAAATAGGCCCTTCATCAGCCTAGGGACTGAGTGGGGTGCCCAGACACCGCACGGTAGGGGAGGCAGACAGCAGGTGTCGCGTAAATCCTGTGTTGGCGCAGACAGAGCCCAAGAGGAAGCATTGTTGGGGACGCTGTAAAAGCTTCATAAAGGCTCCGGATCGATCGGGTGCTCCGAACTCGCCTCCTGGTTCACGCGCTACTTGCTGAGGTCACCCTCCGTGCCAGGTGAATAAGTACGGGCTGGGAAATGAAGCAAGCAAATCAGTTCTCAACGACCAGCCAAGTGCCCACAAGGAGTCCCTAGGGGCAGCACAGGCGCCTAATTGGTGTTCCTCGGTGACACAGTCAATACTTGGAAATGTTTCTGGTCCGTCTCTGGGGGTGGAGAGGATTGGACATTCCTTTAGTTCCCTCAAAGGATGGGGTAGGACAGACCTCGGTTCATTTTCCCACGTGTGAACCGAGGCAGCACAGTGCGAGAGAACGTGCGTGGGCGAACAGTCAAGGTGAGGGGCTTTCCCTCCTCCCTCCCCCATCTTTCCCATCTCGGCTCCCAAGGATTGGGAATCTGACGATGGAGGAGTTTGTTCTTGGCCGGCCAGACACCTGCGGACGAGAACGATCAGGGGCTGCAACACTCAGGGCCCAAAAGGTGTGGGCGCAAAGGTCCCGCAGCACCCCGCTCCTCTCAACCTCCCGCTCCTCCTTCCCTCGACCCTCCCGCCTCCCACCTCCTCGCCGGCCCCGCCCCGCTCCTGCCCTCTCATTGGCCGAGCTGGCCGGCCGGGCCTCCCCGGGATTTAAAGGGCCCGCTCGCCGCGCTGCTCTCCAAGCCGCAGCTGGTCCCGGCCTTGCGGCCTGCGGGGGAGGCTGCCCGGAGGAGGCGGCGACGGTGGCGGCGGCAGTGCGTCCCCGGTCCCCGGGACCGCAGCTTCCTTCCTGCCAGGTAGGTCCCAGGAGTGCGCGCGCGGCTCCTCCGCTCCCATCCTGAGACGGCCTCCCCGCACTGATCTGCAGCGCGTGTTCTTGGGTCCCCTCTCCATCACCTTTCAGACTCCCCCTTCTGCTCTGTCCCCAACCACCACCACCACCTCCCTGAAGCCCCAGGGCCTGGGCAGGGCTTTCTTGGTGGCCAGGAGTGGCCGGGTGGGGGTGAGATGGGGCACGCAGGGGATACAGGACACTCCTCACATCCGTACAAGGAGAGATGCACACGGCCCCCAAGTGTCACAGGATCTCCCTCTCTGCCCTCCACACAGAGTGACTCTACCTTGGAAACCAGAGAGCGTCCCCATTTGATATACCGGCCTGGAATGTACACCATTCATTCCCCATCGGACCCCGACTCCTCACAGCATAGGAGAGACACAGGTCCTTCCTTCACCACAGGTCGTGGGCTGTGTGTGTGCACCCAGGACGCTCCCACACGCACAGTTGGCGGCTCAATCTGATGTACCTGACACCCACACCCTCTCCCAGCCCCCCCAGTTCTGTGTGTCTAAATGGGTTGGACAGCCCCCAGCTGAAATCTGAGTGCTCAAGCCTATGCCTTGAGCATGGTCTGCCCCATGGACATCCCTGCTCTGTGTCCCCACTTTGACAGGTCTATCCATCTGTCCATCCATCCGTGAGGGGCTGCGATGGCCACCTTCAGCCGCCAGGAATTTTTCCAGCAGCTGCTGCAGGGCTGTCTCCTGCCTACTGCCCAGCAGGGCCTTGACCAGATCTGGCTGCTCCTTGCCATCTGCCTCGCCTGCCGCCTCTTCTGGAGGCTCGGTAAGTGCCTGCCACACTATGCGCCATGCCAGGCCATATCATGCTGCCACATTCATCCAGACCAAGCTGTACCTTCTCCTGCTGCATCTTGCCATGCCAAGCCAGGCGACAATATGTCCAGCCCACCACCTCCCACCAGGCAAAGCACCATGCTACCACACGACATCCTACTATGCCCAGCCACCCCATGCCATACCATGCCAAACCATGCCTTTCAGTATTCCTGGGTTCTAGGATTCTGGAAAGCTGACATTCTTGGATTTTGGGAACCTGGAATGTCTACATCCCAACGTTATAAGATTCTGCAATGCTGGTGTCAAAGGGTTAAGGAATCCCAAAGTACCACACTACAGGGTTTGGGGAGCTGACAAGTTGAAATTCTCACATTCTAGGCTTCCAAAATGCTGGCAATCTGGATTTCTAGAATCAGGGCATGCTGAGATTTCTGAATGCTGGGATTCTGGAATGTTTCCACAATCACAGCAAGCCTACATCCAAATGCTAAGACTCTAAGCTCCCAGAGTCCCTATAGGATGCTGAGAATTTTGGAAATCTGAAATTCAAAGGTGCTACATTTTCTTTTTATTTTAAATGGATGTTTTATTTTTTTTAGGTTTATCATTTTGAAATATTTCGGTTACTGAAGTTAACTTGAAAGAATAATACAATGAACACCCATTATATGCATTACCAGATTCCCAATGGTCAGCATCTTCCCACATTAGCCTGTCCTATCTATCTATCTATCTATCTATCTATCTATCTATCTATTATCTTCCTAAATAATTTGAATAACCTGCTGACACTTCACCCCAAATGCATCAGTCTGTCCCCCCCAAGAACAAGGACATCCTCCTCCAACAACCACAGCCACAACCATCACCCCTCAAGAAATCTAATCTGGATGCAATAATATTACCCAATATAAGTTGATACTCACATTTCTCCCAGGGTTCCCAAATGTCCTTTATAGATGTTTCTTTTCTTTAAACCCAGGATTTGGCCCTGGTTGGGTGGCGCAGTTGGTTAGAACATCATCCCGATATCCCAAGGTTGCATTTCAATTCCTAGTCAGGGCACATACAAGAATCAACCAATGAATGCATAAATAAGTGGAACAACACATCGATGTTTCTCTCTCTCTCTTTCTCTCAAATCAATCAATAAAATAAATAAATAAACCCAGACCTTGCCACCTCTCCAGCTCCCCAACACCTGCTTTGGGCCCCCTGCAATCCCACCACATTCCAACCTCTAGGCCTTTGCCCAGGCTGTGCCCTCTGCTCAGGTTGCCCTCCCTTGTTGCCAGCCCACCCAACCTCCCTTTCCTATTCTCTGTCTCTCTCTCACCTGAAGGGTTGCCATCCTACCTGAAGCACGCAAGCACCGTGGCAGGAGGGTTCTTCAGCCTCTACCACTTCTTCCAGCTGCACATGGTCTGGGTTGTGCTGCTCAGCCTCCTGTGCTACCTCGTGCTGTTCCTCTGCCGACATTCCTCCCATCGAGGCGTCTTCCTCTCCGTCACCATCCTGATCTACCTGCTCATGGGGTATGGGTGTGAGCCCTCGTCCCCACACTGTTGGCAGAAGGGTGGGTGGGTCCCCGTGGGTGGGTCCCCTGGCTACTCCTCGTGAGGTTGTGCAGGACAGGAAGAGCACAGGGTGTTCCTGGAGGAGGGAATGTGGGAGACTAGTTATTTCTAAAGGCTGTACAGGACAGGCTGGGCTTGAGCTCCCCCTGGAGGAGAGAGTCCTAGAGAATTATTCCTCCATGAGGTTGTGCTGGACAGGGGTGTAAGCCTCTCTGAACCTTGATCCCCACCTCCCTTTGTGGTCTCTGAGGCCATGGGAGTCATGGGCCCAAGACCACCACCTTTTTTCCTCAGTGAGATGCACATGGTGGACACTGTGACGTGGCACAAGATGCGAGGTAGGAAGCCCTGGCTCTCTCACCTGCCCCTGCCCCACTCTACGTCTAACTTCCCCAACCCTGTCTTTCCTTCCCACTTTTGTCATTCATCTGTCCTCCCCACTGGACAGGCAGGCCTCAGATGCCCTTTATAGCTGTCTCCCTCTACTATGCCTCCCCCCGCCCATCTTCCTTTCCCATCTCATGTATATGCCTCACTCTTGAAAAAGGGCATCTGCCAGTCCTGGGCCTACCTGCTCATCTGCCTATAGACTCTGTGCCCACTTGTCCACTCTTGAACTTCTCTTTTCCTACCACCCCTCACCTGGTGCTCCCCCTCCCCCCATGCTGACCTGCTCTGTGCCCATTCACTTGATTATGGGCACCACACATAGGGGCCCAGATGATTGTGGCCATGAAGGCGGTGTCTCTGGGCTTCGACCTGGACCGGGGCGAGGTGGGTGCTGTGCCCTCACCCGTGGAGTTCATGGGCTACCTCTACTTCGTGGGCACCATCGTCTTTGGGCCCTGGATATCCTTCCAAAGCTACCTACAGGCTGTCCAAGGTCGCCCTCTGGTGAGGTCCTGGGTGGACAGGTGGGCAGGGACTGTGGGAGCCCCCACAGGGCAGTCTTCATGGAGCCTTGATCCCCACAGAGCCGCCGATGGCTGCAGAAGGTGACCCGGAGCCTGGCGCTGGCCCTGCTGTGCCTTGTGCTGTCCACCTGTGTGGGCCCTTACCTCTTCCCGTACTTCATCCCCCTTGATGGTGACCGCCTCCTTCGAAAGTGAGCACGGCCTTCGAGGCCTCTGCCCTGCAGAGGGGGTTGGGTAGGGACCTGGGGTCTCCCCAGCTCTGAGCCTGTCTCTTAATGCTTCTGTCTATCTTCTGTTACTACAGCAAGAAACGCAAAGCCAGGTAAATGAGGGCAGGTGCTGAGGGCGAGTGGGCTAACTGGGGGGTGGGGGCATAGTCTGTGACCTCTTGGTTCTGTTAAGTCTGAGACTATCTGACCATCTACCCCACGACTGGAACGAGATTGAATGTCTGTCTGTGGCTGTTGTTTGGCCAAGATTGGCTCTGTAACTCCATGTATGACTGACACCCTGACACATACTATGTATGAATGTCCATCTGTTCCGCTGTTTCACCTTTAGAAGCCAATTACATGACTGTAACAGGGAGTGACAAGTATGGGTTGGCTGGTGATGCTGACCTGTCTGAGACTCTGGCTAGGCGTGTGTATGGGTTGTTTGTCTCTCAGCCGCTGACTCCCGATGTGGGACTGGAGTTCTGGCTGTGCCATTGTCAATGACGGGGTGTGTGGCTGTCGTTGGGTAAGTCTGGCTTGTCTGTAACTCTGGCTGGGAATGGGTCTGACTGTAGCATGTTATGTGCCTCTCTGATGGGCCTGCCTGTGGGTCTGCCTTCTCTGGCTGCATGGTATTGTCTAGCTGAGGGGTTGTGACCGACTGACCATCTGCCTCTGGTATAACTAGAATTGGTATAATCCAGCTCTTTGATTGTATGGCCCCTTCCTTCCCCCTACTCACTGGCAGCTGATTGTGTCTAATGCTGAACGAGGCTCTGGAAGGTGGAGTGACTTGCCCAGTGTCACCCAGTTAAGCAGCCAGGCGTCAATCCCAGGCCTGATTCCAGAACCAGCCTTTTCCAATGCAGGACTCTGCCTGTGTCTATTGTATGACTGACAGGATGACTGTTGGGGGTAGACTTGCGTATGTGTGCAAAGCAGGGAGCTTGATGATCTCTGTGCCTAACTACAGGACTTTTGTATGTCTTATGGTCACTGAGTCAGGTTAGAGAGCTGCAAGGCTGGGAGTCTGATACTATTTGTGTCTGGCCACGTGGCTGTGTCACGGTGTAGGGCTGTTAGGACGGGCCTCTGATAGAGGCTGGGTCTGGATGTCTGGCCATGTGAGACTGCGGGACTATATCATACTGTGGAGCAGCTCACACACTCATCTGAGCCCCATGAAACTGACAGTGTATGCATGTCTGTGGCTATCACACTGCACCTATGTTTTTGCCACTATGTTTCTGTCTTGTCTAAGACCAACTCAGGCCAGCCTCCTGGGCCTCTGACTCTCTTTCCTTTCTTCTCTGCTGCCTTCCTGACCCCTGGGGGCCTTAGGGGCACCATGGTAAGGTGAGTCTACAGAGTGGGGCTGGGGATGATGGCACATGGCGGGATGTCATGCCGGCCCCTGGGCATGATGCCTCTCCCCCTTCTCCTTTCCCCCCAGGTGGCTGCGAGCCTATGAGAGTGCTGTCTCCTTCCACTTCAGCAACTATTTTGTGGGCTTCCTATCTGAGGCCACGACCACGTTGGCAGGAGCTGGCTTCACCGAGGAGAAGGATCACCTGAAATGGTGGGAAGGGCTGGGGGACCATCCTCTCCCTCAGGCTGTTGCCTAGAGGAGCTTCAGGGAGGAAGTGGGTGCTCCCGTGGGAGGAAACAGCCAAGACGAAAGTGTGGCAGTCAGATGAGTTGAGATCCCAGATGAATTTGTATACCTTTTGCCCACAGGGACCTGACAGTGTCCAAGCCACTGAACGTGGAGCTGCCTCGGTCCATGGTGGAAGTTGTCACAAGCTGGAACCTGCCCATGTCTTATTGGCTAAATAACTGTGAGTCATCAAGTCACCCATCCAAGAGTGGGGAGTCCTCACCCTAGGCCCTTTTACATAGTCATAGAACATTCACTGAGAACCTATTGTATGCTAGGCTGAAGGTACTGCAGGGACCAAAAATGACAACAGCCCCAAATCCCTGCCCTTGTGGAGCTGGAATTTCTGTGGGGGGAGCACATTATAAGAGAAAAAAATAGCCCAGCCGGTGTTGATCAGTGGTTGAGCGACGACCTATGAACCAGGAGGTCACAGTTCAATTCCAGGTCGGTCAGGACACATGCCCGGGCTGCATGCAGACTTGATCCCCAGTAGCGGGTGTGCAGGAGGCAGCCGACCAATGCTTCTCTCTCATCATTGGTGTTTCTATCTCTGTCTCCCTCTCCCTTCCTCTCTCAAATCAATAAAAATATTATTTTAAAAGAGAGAAAAATACACAAGAGTTCAGATGGTGATGAGTGCTATGGTGAAAAATAATAATAATAAAGCAGGAAAGGATGATCTGGAGTGTTGGCAGTGTGGGTGGGATGTCGCAATTTTAAATAAATTAACAGAATAAGTCCCACGGAGGAGGTGACATTTGAGCCGAGATCTAAATAAGGTGAGAGAGAAAGCATTGTAAATATGTGGGGGAGGAGTGTAACAGAAGGAAAGAACAGCCAGTGCAAAGGTCCTGAGACAGGAATGTGCCTGGCATGTTTGAGGAGACTGGTTCAGCAGAAGGAAAGAGAGCGAGAAGGCCAGTAGCAGGAGGTGAGGTTGGAGAGGTGACGGGCCTGGTCCTGTGGGTCCTCACTGGCCACAGAAAGGACTTTGGCCTTTTCTCTGAGAGAGCTGAAGCCACAACAGGGGTCTGAGCAGAGGAGGGCTTTGGGCTGACAGGTTGTAACAGGACCCTCTGGCTGCTGTGAGGACAGATGGGGAGGGAGCCAGGTGGAAGCAGTGAGGAGGCCCCTGCAGTAGTGCAGGTGGTGGAGGCAGTGGACATGGCGAGGAGAGGTCAGATTCCGGGTAAATTCTGATGGTGAAACTGACAGGATTTGCTGAGTTTGGTTGTGGGAGTGAGGGGGAGGGCAGATTCAGGGTGATTCTCAGGTTTTTGCCCTGAGGAACTGGAACGGTGGAGTTGATTGACATTGGCTGAACTTGGAGAGACTGCGGGAGAAATAGATTGGGAGGAAAGTTCAGGAGCTAAGTTTTGGACAGAGGAAGTATGAGACCATTCCAAAGACTTTATCCTGCCCTGACCAGTTTGGCTCAGTGGATAGACCGTCGGCCTGCGGACTGAAGGGTCCCAGGTTCGTTTATGGTCAAGGGCATGTACCTGGGTTGCGGGCACATCCCCAGTAGGGGGTGTGCAGGATGCAGCTGATCGATGTTTCTCTCTCATCGATGTTTCTAACTCTCTATCCCTCTCCCTTCCTCTCTGTAAAAAAAAAAAATCAATAATATATATATATTTTAAAGACTTTATCCTGGGGCTTCCAACACATTGTGTGTATCCTCACCCCGCCCAATGGTCCCCCAGGGCAGGAGGGAATCTTGGGAGACTCGACCTGCATCTCCCTCTTGCAGATGTTTTCAAGAACGCTCTCCGCCTGGGCACCTTCTCAGCCGTGCTGGTCACCTATGCAGCCAGCGCCCTCCTGCACGTGAGCAGGGTGAAGGGGGATCAGGGTGGGAGCGGGGCGGGGGTGGCAGGGCCTCCTCTTCACTCACCTCATTGCCCCCTGGGGCCCCACCAGGGCTTCAGCTTCCATCTGGCTGCGGTGCTGCTGTCTCTGGCATTTATCACTTACGTGGAACACGGTGAGTTTAGAGCCCAGCCTAGGAGACAGGATGGAAGGTTGGTAGGGGGCTAGAACCAGCCTAAGGCTAACCTGACCCCCTTCTCTCCCCACATCTACCCCAGTCCTCCGGAAGCGCCTGGCTCGGATCCTCAGTGCCTGCGTCTTGTCGAAACGGTGCCCACCAGACTGTTCACACCAGCATCGCTTGGTGAGGGTTCAGCCTGGGCAACCTCAAGCCCAACACCCGCCCCTCAAAAATGTTGCTTCTGTCTCCATCTTATATGTGTCTCAGGGTCCCCAGCTTCCTGTTCTGGAGCCTGAGCCATCCCAGAACCTCACCTCTGTTCACTGCCATGCGTCTCTCTAACAAACATTTATCAAACACCTGCTGTATGCACACCAGGCATTCATGTCCCCAGTGAACATTTATTGAACACCTGCTGGTACCAGGCACTGTTTTAGATGCTGGAGACACAGTGGTGAACAACAGACTATAAAGTTCCAGCCCTCTGGGACAAACATTTTAACAGGGGAGTCAGTAAGTAAAAAATAAGTCAGTAAAGTATAATAGTTTGTTAGACGGTGATTAGTGCCAAGGAGGAAATACACAAGGGAAAGGAGAAGGGAATTATCAGGGGGTGAATGGATTCCATTTTAAATAGGGAGGTGCCTTTTGAGTTCCTTAGCTGAGGGAGGTGAGGGACAGAAGCATTCCAGGCAAAGGGAAGAACCAGTGTACAGGCCCCAAGACGGGAGAGGGCCTGGAATATTTGAGGAACAGCGAGGAGGCCAGTGTGGCTTGAGCAAAGCGAGCAAGGGGGAGAATGATGGGTCCCGTAGGACATGCTAGGAATTTGCTTTTGATTTTTGGTGTGTTTTTTTTTGTTTTTTCCTTCTGCTTGCAATAAGAAGTATGGGCAACCTCAGATTTGTCTCCTATCAGACAACTGATGTTTCTTACCATAAATCCCCGAGTCGGAGCTCCACCATTCTGCCTCCTTTGCCTGAATACTCGCATCTCCCCCAACTTGGACACCCTCAATGCAAACAGTACCCTGAGCCCTGGATACCTTTTGAGCTCCCATAAGAGGATCTGAACCATCTCTTTCCTACCCGGGGGTGCCACGGACATCCTCATTCCTGGAACCCACTGCACTTTGTGCATCTCCCTGGGCTCCCCTGCCCAGGTGGGACTGAGGGACAGTGAGTAGGTCCAGCTGCCAAGCAAATCCATCTGTCCCCCACAGGGCCTGGGGGTACGAGCCTTAAACCTGCTCTTTGGGGCCCTGGCCATCTTCCACCTGGCCTACCTGGGCTCCCTGTTTGATGTCGATGTGGATGATACCACAGAGGAGCAGGTGAGGTGGGGCCCTGGGCTGGGGGTACCCAGGGATGTGCCACCTGCTCATGGGAACCATGAAGACAAAGGGGGGCGGGGAGGCTGAGACATGAGGACCTTGTGTGGTGTGTCTCTAGCTTGTGCAGCCAGTGCTCCTCGGTCCTTCCTTCCCGTTGTCCCTCTGGTTGATTGGCACTGCTGCGTCTTTTATTTGGGTGAAGTTTGCAAAATATATTTATTTTACTTATTTTATGGAGATGGAATGCAAAATCCAGGTTTTACTTTTTTTTTCAATTAGTCATCTCATCATATTTTTGTTTAGGTAGAACCTGCAAGGTTTATTCTTATTTAATTTTTAAAAAAAAATCTTCACTCAAGTTGATTATGCAAACTCTAGATCAGGGGTCCTCAAACTTTTTAAACAGGGGGCCAGTTCACTGTCCCTCAGACCGTTGGAGGGCCGGACTATAGTTTAAAAAAAAATTATGAACAAATTCCTATGCACACTGCACATATCTTATTTTGAAGTAAAAAAACAAAACGGGAACAAATACAATATTTGTATTTGCATGTGGCCCGCGGGCCGTAGTTTGAGGACCCCTGCTCTAGATTCTACTTTTAAATGTATATTAAAATGGATAGGCTATTTTTATTCATGTGGAGTATGCACATTCCAGATTTTACTCCTTTTTAAATTAAAAACAATTTCTAAAATAATGTTTTTTCACATAGCTCTTGCAGGATCCAGGTTTTGCTTCTCTTTTAAATTTTTGTTTTTAATTAAAAATAAAACTTTATATTATTTTCATCATTAAAAACAGCTTTTAATTTTTAATCAGGTTGAGTGTGCAAATCTGGGTTTTGCTTCTTTTTATTTTGGGGGTTCCTTTTTGTTGTTGCTTTTCAAAGAGAGTAGAAGGGAGGGAGGGAGAGGGGGGAGGGAGAGAGAGAGAGAGAGAGAGAGAAAGAGAGAGAAACATTGATGTGAGAGAGACACATCAACAAGCTGCCTACCACACACACCCGGATCACGGGGTGGGGAGTGAACCTGCAACTCAGGTATGTGCCCTTGACCAGGAATCAAACCCGAGACCCTTTGGTGTGTGGACCAATGCTCTAACCACTGAGCAACCAGCCAGGGCAGGGTTTTGCTTCTTTTTAAATAAAGTTTTTATCTTGTTTTAATCAAAACATTTAAAAATAGTTAGTGTATATCACAAAGTTAAAAAACCAAACTGTATTCAAGATATTCAGGGGAAAGTCTTGCTCCTACGGTCTACTCACTGCCCTCTTACAGGTAACCACTTTCCTTCATTTTATTAGAATATCTTTCCAAAATGTAAGCATAATAAGCAAATATAAAAACATCTTTTGATTCCCTCCCCTGGTTTTTACCCTAAAGGTAACTCATGGATGACAGTGTGCGCTACATGTTGCTTTTCTATATAATAATCCTTGGAAATCTTCCACATCAGTACATAGTGTCCTCACTCATTTTTTTTCCACTGTAAGGCTATGACACAGGGTAGTTTGTCCCTTATCAGTGGACACCCAGGTGATTTCCAGTCCTTTCCTATTGCAAATGACATTGCAGCAAGTAATATCCTCATACCCATGTAGATTCACACAGGTGCAGACAGAACTGTAAGATCGATTTTTGGTAGTTGAAATGGAGAAGTTACCTTTTTGCTCTCCCACCAGCAGTGTGTGAAGCAACAGAGTGCCTCTCAGACTTTCTGGATGTTTTTGCCAGTTTGAGAGGAGGAAGATTATGATGTAGGCCATAAATTTAAGAGCTGTTTGGTTTTTTCCTTTACTGAGAATGGTCTACTCACCTCCTTTGCCAATTTTTGTCTTTTTAAAATATTGATTTCTAGGAGCTCTTTACATACAAAGGAGAGTACAGATCAGAGAGAGTGGGGTTATCTTGTCCTGCCTTTAAAATGATTTCTAAAGAAAACATGAAAGAAAAAATCTAAATCTTACGTTTTATATGCAGAGTACAAGTCAGACAGTGGGGTTGAAGAAGAAAACACAAAGGAAATAAAACTAAACCTGTTTATCTTTAATATCACCCAGTTTTTTCTCTGGGGCCTCAGCTAAGGTCACCATGGAGTCACAGAAATGGCCTTGAGCAAAGGATGGGTTTTCCTAAGACAGTGATGGCGAACCTATGACACGTGTGTCAGAGGTGACATGTGAACTCATTTTTTGGTTGAACTCATTCTTTGTTAAATGGCATTTAAATATATAAAATAAATATCAAAAATATAAGTCTTTGTTTGACTATGGTTGCAAATATCGAAAAATTTCTATATGTGACACGGCACCAGAGTTAAGTTAGGGTTTTTCAAAATGCTGACACGCCGAGCTCAAAAGGTTCGCCGTCACTGTCCTAAGACCTTCTTTGTTCTTGCTGAGTGGGACCATCACCTCTTTCTCTCCCACAGGGTTATGGCATGGCATACACTGTCCACAAGTGGTCAGAGCTCAGCTGGGCCAGTCACTGGGTCACTTTTGGATGCTGGATCTTCTACCGTCTCATAGGCTGAGGCACATCTGTGGACCCTCCAACTTCCCTCAAGACTCAACCCCTCCTCAGGGTGCCAGCTCTGATGGAGGATGAGGGATGGCCCTCTAATTCTTGACCCCGCTCCATCATAGTCCCCCTAACACCCTTACACACACACACACACACACACACACACACACACACACCATTTTCATGCCTGCTGATCCCCACCCCACCACAAGGCGGGAAGGGGGTGGTCCCTGCTGGGGCCAAGGGATGGGGGATGCTTAGGGAAGCAGAGAGGGGGAGATGCACAGAACTTCCCGCCTTCCCACTCCCTTTTTATATACAGTTTGTTATTGTCAAATAAAAGTAGGAAATATACAAAAGACTCTTTCTTCACTGCTTAGTGGGGAATAGAAGTGAGTGAGGAAGGGGGTACAGCATGGATAAAGGTTTGGAAGCTGGAAACCATGAAGAGGGAGCAGTTTGTGATTAGTTCATTGTTCATGATTGGATGATGAGATAGAAGATGGCACTGCCTGATATAAGTAGGACTGGGACAAATTAGTTGTGTGGGGGGAGGCCTGATACCAATCAGCAGGAAAACTGATTGGTTGCTCTAACTGGGACAGAGAAAAGAGCAAGACACAGTTCAGCCTGGCCAGCATGGCTCAGTGCTTGAGCATCAACCTATGAACCAGGAGGTCACGGTTCAATTCTAGGTCAGGGTACAGGCCCGGGTTGCAGCTTGATCCCCAGTGTGGGGCATGCAGGAGGCAGCTGATCAATGATTATGTCTCATCATTGATGTTTCTAACTCTCCCTCTCTCTGATATATCTCTCTCTATATATAAAAGCCTAAGAGACTGGCCAACCAGCCTACTGGCCAGTAGCTATGATGCACACTGACCACCAGGGGACAGATGCTCAATGCAGGAGCTGCCGAGCTGCGGTCACTTGGCAGCGGCAGTTCTCAGATGACACACCTGGAACCAGAGAGGAGGGAGCCCGATTCCTGCCCTCTTGCAATCCGGGACCCCTCAGGGGATGTCAGAGATCTGGTTTTGGCCCAGTCCCCGCAGGCCAGGCTGAGGGACCCCATCAGTACACAAATCCATGCACCGGGCCTCTAATATATATATATATATATATATATATATATATATATATATATATATACACACACACACACACAGAGTTGATGCTTACGACTAAGGCAGCAGTTCTCAACCTGTGGGTCGTGACCCCTTTGGTGGTTGAACGACCCTTTCACAGGGGTCGCCTAAGACCATCCTGCATATCAGATATTTACATGACGATTCATAACAGTAGCAACATTACAGTTATGAAGTAGCAACAAAAATAATTTTATGGTTGGGTCACAACATGAGGAACTGTATTTAACGGGCCAGAAGGTTGAGAACCACTGGACTAAGGTTTATGAGTTGTAATTGGACAGGAGGTTTGGGATGGGTCTAGATTCTGACTGTGCAGTCTGGGTGCTCACTGGCTAGAATTGTGGAGTTCAATTTTGTTCTTCAGAGATGGCACAGGGAGACTGAATATCTCCATGCCAACTGGCTCTCAAGGAGTTTTGATTGGTTTTTCTGACCTGAAGTCGGGAGAGGTAAGGATGACTGCTAAGGAGTCCTGAGCACTGAGGTAGAGGATAGAGGTGTATTTTACAGGATGGCATCTTAGTATTGTTTCCTTGTGCATTCGGGCAATAAGAATGAAGGTTTTTGGCCTTAGCCAGTTTATCTCAGTGGATAGAGCGTCAGCCTGCGGACTGAAGGGTTCCTGATTCGATTCTGATCAAGGGCACATGCCCGGGTTGCAGCTCAATCCCCAGTAGGGGGCGTGCAGGAGGCAGCCAATGGATGACGTTTCTCTCTAACCCTCTCCCTCCCTCTCTCTCTAAAACTCAATAAAAACCTATTTTTTAAAAAGAATGCAGGTTGTGTCTGGCAACGGATTAATTGGTCTGATTACAAAACGAGGGCAAAGAAGAGAGGACGCAATGCAATGCTGATTCAACAGCAGACGATTGACTGATAAGAGGATAGGGAAACTGAAGCCAAGACTGTTTGCAAGTTGGTTTCGTCCGAAAACGCCCACCAACCGCGGCACTCCCTGCTTTCACCCACCTCCGAACTGGCTCAACCAACAAGGAAAATGGCACCACGCCTGAGGGCGGGACCGGTGGCGCAAGGAGAGCTCTGATTGGTTGAGAGTGACACTGGCCGCCTCCCAGCCCTTCCATTGGCCAACTCCATAAGACTAGGAACCTGGGAGGCAATGGGTCTGAACTAGGTTGTCACGGAGCCCGCAGGCCAGCTCAGCAGAACCGGAACCTTGCTGGACAGGTCGCTGCGACAGCGCCGCTGGGTGAGTGCCGCCCCCCCCCCCCCCGCCCCTCCTGCCATTCCATCCCGTCGCTCTCCGCTACAAAACGGCCGGCCACAGGCGCGCCTGCGCGAGACCCCTTTTCCCCCCCCTCCAACCCGCCACCACGCCACCCACCCTCACGCGCCTGCGCGAGGCCCCCCTCGTACCGCGTGGTCGTCCGGGCTACAGAAGATCCTCTTTCTCATTGGGCAGCTGGACTAGAGGGTTCTAGTTCTGATTGGTGGTCTCTGCATTTAACCCTCCTTTCCTCTCTAAGCGCCGCGGAGACCTGTGCCTTCCACTTGCCTATTTCTCGCAGGTTGCCGGCCGTGTACGCTATTGCGGGAAGCGTTTGGCTTTCCGCACGCTGAACCCGAGGGTTGGCGTTCTCGTTAGTCTTCTCTCTTCCGTCCTGCAGTTTCCAGGACTACAGAGAGGGACCAGCTCTCCGCTGAATGATGCAAGACACTGACTCCAGCAATGGGACCCAACCTGTTTGTTTCTCCCCCAGCAGCCTGTGACCCCTGAGGGCACGGACCAAGCTTGATTCCTGTGTCTAACCTTCCCAGGGCGGGACCAATGAGGGCTATGACCTAGTCAGATTCTTCTGTCTGCCCACCGGACTGTGACCAATGAGAGCAGGGACCTGTCCTGATTCCTGTCTTCCCCAGCTGACTCTGACCCTCAGGGCAGGGAGCTGGTCTGATTACTGTGTTTACCACATATGGGTCCCAGGGGCTGGAACAAGTTTTCATTCTTTGTGTGACCTTAAAGCAGCATATGATTAGTTTCGGTTTTAATCCAGTTTCATAAGTCTAGTACCTGGTCAATTTAGTCCATTTGCATTTTTTGTGATAATAAACCGTTTGGATTTGATTTTTTTCATCTCATTCTGTGCTTTCTATTTGTTCAGGTTTTTCTCTTCCTTTTTTCTTCTTTCTACTTATCCACACACAGCCATCAGCCTACAAAGACATGGCCACCAATGCTAACCCCTTGCACCCATACTGGCCTCGGCACCTGAGACTGGACAACTTTGTGCCTAATGACTACCCTGCCTGGCATATAATAGCTGGCCTCTTCTCCGTCACTGGGGTCATACTTGGGATCACATGGCTGTTGTCAGGACCTGCTGCCATCGTCCCCCTGGGAACCTGGCGACGACTGTCACTGTGCTGGTTTGCAATGTGTGCGTTCATTCACTTGGTGATTGAGGGCTGGTTCAGCCTCTACAGCAAGGAACTTCTTGGAGACCAAGCCTTCTTGTCCCAACTCTGTGAGTCCTGAGTTCTTTCATATGCTGTGGGAGGGAATTTTTTGGGCAGGGATTGGCTAACAGCTTTTCTTCTATTAATTTATTTCAAAATTTTATTTAACTGTTTGTTGCATATATATTCACATGAATCAAAAAAAAAAAAAAACATTTAAAGAGGTATGCAGCCTGGCCAGCGTGGCACAGTGGTTGAGTGTTGAGCTATGAACCAGGAGGTCACAGTTTGATTCCCGGTCAGGGCATGTGCCTGGGTTGTGGGCTCAATTCCCACTGTGAGGCGTGCAGGAGGCAGCAGATCAAGGATTCTCTCTCATCATTAATATTTCTATCTCTCCCTTCCTCTCTGAAATCAAAAATATATAAAATAAATAAATAAAAAGATAAAATAAAGAGGTATGCAGTGTGCCCTGACCAGCACGATTCAGTGGTTAGAGCATCAGCCCGTGCATCAAAGGGTTGAGGGTTCAGTTCCAGGTCAAGGGCACAAACCTGGTTTGCAGGTTCAATACCCCACCCTGGTCAAGGTGTGTGCAGGAGGCAACCAATTGATAAGTCTCTATCACATTGATGTTTCTCTCTCCCATCTTCTTCCCTCCCTCCCATTCCCTCTGAAAAGCAATGGAAAATATATCTTCAGGTGAGGTTTAACAAATGATAAAAAGAAGCATGCACTGAAAATCTACCTTCTGTCCACCAAGTTTCCTCAATTATTAACCACTGTTAATAATTGCTTGTTTTCTTCCAGGGTTTATTTACACATAAATTATACACAGAAGTCACAGTTTGCTCAATTGTAAAAGAGATATAATAGTAATCCCCAAATATATGTAAGGCATTCAGAACAATATTTGGCAAGCAGTAGATGCCATGTAACTGTTTATTACTATTATTATTTGGCAGACAACAGATGCTATATAAATGTTTATTATCATCATCATTTTTATTTTTCCCTTTTATATAAACAAATGGTAACATGCTATATACACTTCTGAACTTCGCTTCTTTTAATCAGGTCACTCCTCATCAGCTCTTAAAGAGCTTTCAAAGCTTAAATGTTACAGAATTATTTGACTTATCTAGTATTTTTTTAAATATATTTTTATTGATTTCAGATAGGAAGGGAGAGAGAGACAGAAACATCAGTGATGAGAGATAATTGATGGGCTACCTCCTGCACACCCGCACTGGGGATGGAGCTGGCAACCCAGGCATCTACCCTGACCAGGAATCGAACTGTGACCTACTGGTTCATAGGTCCATGCTCAACCACTGAGCCACGCTGGCCAGGCTTGACTTGTCTAGTATTAATGAGCATTTCCCCCAGTATTTTGCTGTTATAAGTAATACTCCTTTTGGTCTCATGAATAAAACTGCTATGAACATTGTTATAAGAATCTTTGTGTGGGGCTCTGCTTTCATTTCTCTCGGGTAACTATGGAGGAGTGGCTGGGTTGTATGGTAGATGTGTGGTTAACTTTATGAAAAACTGCCAAGCTGTTTTCAAAAATGGATGCATCATTTTATATTCCCACCAGCAGTATATTTTTTACAGAGAAGAAGGGAGAGGGATAGAGAGTTAGAAACATCGATGAGAGAGAAACATCGATCAGCCGCCTCCTGCACACCCCCCACTGGGGATGTGCCCGCAACCCAGGTACATGCCCCTGACCGGAATCAAACCTAGGACCCTTCAGTCCGCAGGCCGACGCTCTATCCACCCAGCCAACCCGGCCAGGGCATGGTCAGGTGTTTCTTAAATTGTAGACCTTCTAGTGCAGTGGTCGGCAAACTGCGGCTCGCGAGCCACATGCGGCTCTTTGGCCCCTTGAGTGTGGCTCTTCCACAAAATACCGACTCCTGTGCATGGGCCACGAAGTTTCAGTCGCACGGTATGTGCGCGCCCGCACGTGGTATTTTGTGGAAGAGCCACACTCAAGGGGCCAAAGAGCCGCATGTGGCTCACGAGCCGTGGTTTGCTGATCACGGTTCTATGTGAGTGCTATCTCATTGTGGGGTTTTAATTTGCTTTTACTTAACAATTAATGAAAGTTTGAGCACCTTTCATTTGTGTATTGACCATTTGGAAATCCTCTTTAGTGAAGAACCTACTCCGGTCTCCTGCCTGTTTTTATGTCATGTGATCTGCCTTTTTCTTATTGATTCTCTGCTCACGTTTTTCATTCATGTTCACTTTCTCTCTCAGTCCTTTCCTCTTTCCCTCCCTCCCTCCTTCCCTTTCTCTCTCTCTCTCATTGGCTACGTCATTCAGTTCATCATCTATACCTGCCTCCATTATTCTACAGATATTTATTGAAAGCCAGACAGTCACAGCAGCACTTACTGTCCTATGTCAGGTTTGCGCACATATCTTGCATACATATATTAACTCTAAAATCCAAACAGCCACCTCATTGCGGATGAGGAGTTAGAGGCATGGAGAGGTTATGAAGCCTGCCTTATTACATGGGCCCTCAGCTCTCACAAGTGTGAGTTTCTTTTCCTGCCTTTATTCATGTATGTCTCTTGTCTTCTTCAGGGAAAGAGTACGCCAAGGGAGACAGCCGTTACATCCTGTAAGTGTTTGCCTCTGTCAAGGGAGACATGAATTGGTTTGGGGTGGTGGTGAGTCAGGGAGCACAAATGGGGTTCCCTGAACTTAGAGCACAGTGATGCCGGTATCGCCTCATCCTTTCTCTTGCAGGAATGACAACTTCACAATATGCATGGAGACTGTCACGGCTTTCCTGTGGGGACCACTCAGCATTTGGGTGGTGGTTGCCTTTCTCCGCCAGCATCCTGTCCGCTTTGTCCTACAGCTCGTGGTCTCTGTGGGTGAGAAGAGGGCCCATGCTGATGCTGGAGGGATTATCAGGGATGCGCAGATATGGGGGCATCCATGTGGGTAGGATCTCTCAATTGTGCCCACCCAGGGCTGAGTCAGATTGAATGATAAATTCCCTGAAGTTCTAGAACAGCTATGCCCCTCTCAGCCTGTGTTCTCAAGTGGGAAGTGTTCATTTCTCTTCCTCCTCCATCACAAAGTCTTCTGGGAAGGAGGTCATGGTTTGATTCCTGGTCAGGGCACATACCCGGGTTGTCGGCTCGACCGCTAGTGTGGGTCGTGCAGGAGGCAGCCGATCAATGATTCTCTCTCATCATTGATGTTTCTGTCTCTCTCTCCCTCTCCCTTCATCTCTGAAATCAATAAAAATATATTTTTTAAATATTTTTTTAAATAACAGTCTCCTGTGAAGGTTACATGAGGTGGCCCATGCTGGCAGGAAGTCCTTGGGTCCTCTAGGCTTGGGATTTCCAGCCTCTTTCATCTAAGGTTCAGTGTTCTTACATTGTTAGCTTTCTTTAGTTCTAGAAATCTGGGTTATCTTTAGTCCTGGAATCCTCAGCTGTCTTGAATGAAAGGATTTTGAGCTTCCTTAAATTCTGGAGATATGAGCTCTCCTGGGTTCTGAAATTCTCAGCTTCCAATTTCTGGAATTCTCACTTTTCTGATTTTTTAACTTTTTAGCTATATGATTTCAGAATTTTTACCTCTGAATTTGGGAATTCTAAGGACTGAGACCTCAAACGATGACTTGAAAAATGCCTTGGAATAGCTCCTCCTCCTCACATTTCTCTTCCACCTCCCACAGGTCAGATATACGGGGATGTGCTCTACTTCCTGACAGAGTACCGTGATGGATTCAAGCACGGGGAGCTGGGCCACCCGCTCTACTTCTGGTTTTACTTTGTCTTCCTGAATGCCGTGTGGTTGGTGGTGCCTGGAATCCTTGTGCTCGATTCTGTGAAGCAGATCACCCACGCCCAGAGCCTGCTGGATGCCAAAGTCACAAAAATCAAGAGCAAGCATAAATAATGAGTGACGGACTGGGCTTTAACACGGGCTGATGACGAACTCTCCATCTGCCAGAAGAGTCTGTTCCTTGCTCCCACAGGTTGAAAGGACAAAGTGAATTGATCGTCAAACTCAGGCTGATGGGTGGGCACCAAAAGGGCCAGCAATGGGGAAGAAAGGAGCTGTGTGGAGCTATTGCAAGGAGCTGTTGGGACAAAAGTCCAAGAGAACCTACAAGGTCCGCAGTGGTGGTAATTTTTAAAACAAGGAAATAAAAGGTCTTGACTCTAACATTGAAAGATCTTTAATTACTGACCCTAAAGACACCTCTGTCACTCACTCATTTCACAGACCACCATTATCTCAGCCATAGATTCCAATCCCCATCACATAGACCTTCAATCATTTAGACTTCACAAACCCCCATCACTAACTCCAGA